ATCACCTACACGCACAAGATATCTGTTTTACATTAGAAGTATTGCACGTACACAAGTTCATCGTAAACGATAGTTCACCTGCTATTTTTATGCCATTTTATGTCTTGTGGGACAGTTAAACGTATGTAATAATTAACTATTAATTTCTTTTTCATACTCATTTTAAGTATTCTAATGTGTTTCATAGAAACGTAGTTAATTTCATGGACGGGATTTATTGTGCACATACAAAAATCACATTCAAATTTAGGCCAAATAGGGGTGAATGAAGTCATTAAGCTTTGGTAGTGCTTAACAGAACACTGAAAAACTGATCCTAATCTATAGGAACTGAAAAACACAAAAAAAAAAAAAAATCTAATCCTAAGAGACAAGAACAGGAGCTAGACTAATTCAAACTCCTATACATTAGGAACTTATTCAAACACAAAATACAAAATAATAAAAAATATAATAACTCAACACTTGTCCCTAACTGTAATAAAATAATAGATTACAAATATCATGCAATCCACCAATAAAAGTATACCCTTTTTTTTTTTTTTTTACTTGGAGGAGGGGGGATGGGACGGTGTCACAGTGATGACCGAACCTCCACTTTTTATTTGGAAACTTCCCCTGGTGCCACTAGTCCCAAGTGGTTTTGGCTACCAATAACAATATCGAGAGAAGCATTACAAAATATTTCATAATATGGAAACGTCCTTGTTATTTAAAGTAATTTAAATAATGCTATTATATTTCTAGTATTTGCTACGTTTTGTAAGTGGATTGGATGATGTCCATATGTCATGATACAAAATTTATTAAGTGATCAATTAGGCCTTTTAGAAATCTTTAAAGGTCTCATTGTACAAAAGTTGATGCTCTTTTCAGTTGTGAACTATTAAGCAAGTCTTTCTTACTGTAATACTTTTCCAATTTTTTTCTACATCATATTATAATAGGTTATATCTTAATAGTGTTGGTATAGCATCATGGATAAAGATTGGGGTACACCAATCAAGGTTATCTTATCCCCTTAAGTTTAGAGATTTTTTAAATATGTTCATATACACTTTTTAGATGATTTACTTAGTGTTTTATTATAGAGTTTCAGAGGCATATCAACACAGTGCAAGAAAGTTTGCAAACATGGTGCAAGCCAACGCGGGGAATCCAAAAAAGGTCATATGCCCTTGCAAATGTTGCAAAAACCTATTTTACCAACATTTTGATACAATGTATGGGCATTTGATCATTCATGGGATGGATCCTACTTATACTACATGGGTGTTTCATGGCGAAAAACGAGGTTATCTTATCCCCTTAAGTTTAGAAATTTTTTAAATGTGTTCGTGTACACTTTTTAGATGATTTACTTAGTGTTTTATTATAGAGTTTCAGAGGCATATCAACACGGTGCAAGAAAGTTTGCAAATGCAGGGAATCCAGAAAAGGTCGTATGCCCTTGCAAATGTTGTAAAAACCTATTTTATCAACATTTTGGTACAATGTATGGGCATTTGATCATTCATGGGATGGATCCTACTTATACTACATGGGTGTTTCATGGCGAAAAACCGAATGCATCATTGCCTCCTCAAGATGTAGAAAATTTTGAGACATATAGGATGTATAGAGATGCATTTCTTCAAGATGACAATAACATAGAACCTGAGAATGAAGGTCGAAAGAAAGAATTTTCTAATTTATATGAGGGAGTTGAAATTCCTTTATATCCCGGTTGTACAAAGTACACAAGAATATCTGCAATCGTTGTCTTATACAAGCTTAAATGTAGAAAGGAAGGGGTCGAGCAAAGCTGAACTATCTCAACAAGGGAAAATGTACAAAGTTAACTGTAGAATTTAATGAAAGAGGGCAACCAATTTGTAAAGAGTCAAATAAGTTATCGTCATTCCTTGGAACCACAGCTAGGGAACTTATACCTATTACAAAGAAAAATTGGAAAGATTTTAGCGAAAGTTTTCTTGATGACGTATGGGAGCTTGTGCAGGTGATATAAACTTCACATCATATATAGTTTAAATTAAATTAGAAAACATTTGATTTAGGATATGAGAAGATACATGCATGCCTAAATGATTGTTGTTTGTTTAGAAAGGATCTCGAGGATTTGGAGACATGTCCAAAATGTGCATCTTCACGTTGGAAAGTTAATGAGCGGACTAAGAAGATTCAAAAGGGGATACCTACAAAAGTCTTACGATATTTTCCAATTATACCACGATTTAGAAGAATGTTTAGGTCACCTGACAAGGCAGAACAACTAATATGGCACTTAACTCACAAAAGTCAAGATGGAAAAATGCGTCATCTAGTTGATTCATTAGCTTGGGAGAGAATTGATCAAAAGTGGCCTCATTTTGCATCAGAACCACGAAATCTTAGGCTTGGCCTTTCGTCCGATGGATTTAATCCTTTTGGTGACCTAAGTTCTAGATATAGTTGTTGGCCGGTGATTCTAGTTATATATAATCTCCCTTCTTGGGTATACATGTCCAAGGAAAACTTATTATTGACTTTGTTAATCCCAGGTCCAAAGCAACCTGGGAATGATATAGATGTATATCTACAACCACTTATAGAAGACTTAAAGGAGTTGTGGATTGGTGTTGAAATATATGATGGATTTACCAAGTCCACCTTCAATCTGAAGGCTGTATTGATGTGGACAATTAATGATTTTCTGGCTTATGGAAACTTATCTGGATATCCTACAAAGGGCGAGGCAGCATGTCCAGTATGTGGTTTAACCACATTCACAAAATGGTTGACATATAGTCGAAAGTTTGCATACATGGGTCATAGAAGATTTCTTTCATATAATCATCCTTTTCGATCGAAAGAAGCTTGGTTTGACGGAAATAAGGATCATAGGCCCAGTCCAAAAATATTAACTAGCCAAGAAGTGATGTGTTTAATAAAGAATGTTAGCAATGACTGGGGAAAAAAAGGAAACAGAAAAAATCAGATTTCGATTGGCCATGGAAAAAGAAATCAATATTCTTCGATCTACCGTACTGGAAGGTTAGTTATTTCAAACTATTTGAACGTAGTTAACTTTTTGCTTAAATTTTTGTTTCTAAATTTATATTATTATTTTTCGAACACTACTTTTACGTCATCATTTGGATATAATGCACACTGAGAAGAATGTTTGTGAGAGCATTCTAGGTACTATTTTGAATGTGAAGGGAAAATCAAAAGATGGCCTCAATTCTCGTAAGGATTTGCTTAACATGGGTATTAGAAAAGATCTTCATCTAGAGTTGAAAGAAAATACATATTCCCTACCTGCAGTATCATACATGCTATCCAAAAAAGAGAGAGAGTTATTTTGTAAGAGATTATTTGATTTAAGATTACCCGATGGTTATAGCTCTAACATTTCAAAGTATATCTCATTAGCAGATAATAGGATTTTAAATCTAAAGTCTCATGATTGCCACGTGCTCATACAACAATTGTTATTAGTTGCATTAAGAGGACTTTTACCTAAAGGAACAAGAAATGCAATTTTTAGGCTATGTGCATTTTTTAACGAAATATTTCAAAGAGTTATTGATAAAAATAACATAGAAAAGCTTGAGGAGGATGTTGCAGTTACTCTATGTATGCTAGAAAGGTTTTTCCCCCCTTCTTTTTTTGACATAATGATTCACTTAACTATCCACCTTAGGCGTGAATTTCGTATTGGCGGACCTATACAATATTGTTGGATGTACCCATTTGAGAGGTAACTTACTATTATACCTTTGTACTTATTCAACCTTTCTTCTTCAATTATTTAAGTATCTCATGCCTACTATGTTTAAATTAGGTTTATGAAGACACTTAAAGGATATGTTAAAAATCGCTCAAGACCTGAGGATTGCATAGCAGAGCGTTATTTAGCCGATGAATGTATGCATTTTTGTAGTGGTTACATGACACAAGCTACTGAGGTAGGTGTTCGACATAATCGAAACGAGGATTTCGAGAATGGTACAACTATTGTTGGACGTACAATTTCTAAAGGAAAGTCAAAGATCTTGAGTCAAGAAATGTTAGAGGTCGCTCATTGCTACGTGTTGTTTAACAGTGCCGCAGTTGAACCATATATAACGTAATCAACTTAGTTAATAAGTTCGTTTTATATCCATTAATATTTTCTCGTAAACTTATCTTACTATTTATTTATTTATTTATTTTTAGGATGCATAGAGACGAGATTAAGAATTCAGATAGCCATGCTGCCAAGAATGAAACCTTATTACAAATAAGACATATGGAGAGTTTTACTTCTTGGTTTGCAGAGAAAGGCAAAGAAGACAATTGTAACATGTCAAGTACATTGAAATGGCTTGCACGACGACCTAAATCTGACGTGATGTCACATTCTGGTTATGTTATCAATGGACATCGATTTCACACAACCGATGTTAGTAGAAGTACACAAAATAGTGGTGTTTCTATTGAGGCACAAACTATTTGCTGGTCTAGTGTGAAGGATACAAGTCACGTAGTTGATAAAATTTCTTATTATGGGGTTATAAAAGATATAATTCTACTAGACTATCATAGTTTTAAAGTTCCTATGTTTCATTGTGATTGGGCAAATATAGATAGCGGAGTCAAGATTGAAGAAGGGTTTACGTTGGTTAATCTTCATAGAGGACAACATCAATTTGAAAGAGATCCATTTATTTTAGCATCACAAGCAAAACAAGTTTTTTATTCTAGAGAAAATGATACTTCTAGTTGGTATATTGTATTGAAGGCACCTCCTAGAGGATTTTATGAGTCAGAAAATTTTGATGAGGATGCTTATACTCCATCCACATTAAATGTATCATTAAGAATTGATATGACTATCGAAGATGATAGCTATTTAAGATATGACTGTGAGGGCATTGATATTGAATATGGTAATTGTATAGATTTAAGATTCTTTCTTTCTTGCATTATTTTTATTGATATTACACTAATGTTAATCTCTCTAAGTCCATTATTTCTTAATTTATGTATATAGATGCAAATGATGAAAGCTGAATTTTGTGGAAACTGATGTGCAAATGTCCGGACATAATATGTCAGATCTTGGTGAAGTAAGTTATGAGGTCATATATAAGGGTTTAAAATGTTTTTATGTTAAATTTAAGCAAAAAAAAATGTGTTTTTCTTATTTGTGCAATGCAGTCATCTAATCAAGGATACAACAAATCAAAATGAGCTAAAAAAGCTTTAGTTGTTGCTGCCACAAGAGAAGGAAATGAAGGCATAAGAATATCAGAGAGAGGTTCTAATTCCGTGCGACATGATGTAGAAGTCTTGCCTAATAGCGTCAATACTACTGAAAAAGGAAAGAAAGGCAGGGGTCGAGCAAAGCTGAACTATCTCAACAAGGGAAAATGTGCAAAGTTAACTGTAGAATTTAATGAAAGAGGGCAACCAATTTGTAAAGAGTCAAATAAGTTATCATCATTCCTTGGAACCACAGCTAGGGAACTTATACCTATTACAAAGAAAAATTGGAAAGATTTCAGCGAAAGTTTTCTTGATGACATATGGGAGCTTGTGCAGGTGATATAAACTTCACATCATATATAGATTAAATTAAATTAATATTAATCTTACATATTTTGATGCAGCAAAGGTTTGATATTGACATTTGTCATAGAAAGTACATTATGCGAAAATTTGGAAAGAGTTGGAGAGATCATCGATCTAATGTGCTGAAAACAATTAGCGACAAAGGAAGAACAATTGGCATGAAATGAGCTGCTTCTCTCCTCAAGCCAGATAACGTTGACTCAATGGAAGAATGGCAAGCATTTGTCAAAGAATGCAATTCTCAACCATATAAGGTACGTTCCATTGCTTTTATATACTAAATGTGCCATAATGTTGTGCTTGTACTATAATTGTTTGATTTTGTAGGAAAAGAATGATAGATTCAAAAAGATGAAAGCTAGTCAAACTATGCTGCACACAACGAGTAGAAAAGGCTTTGCTCGCTTAGAAGCTGAAATGGTAAAACTTATGTTACATTATAAGTTAAATTTGCTAGAAAATTTGTAAATATGTACAAACTAACATATATACTTCTTGGTTAAAACAAATCGCAGCATATTGAAAGTGAAGACCTTGATTCCATTAAGAGAGATGATATTTATATTCAAGGACATACGCGAAAAAATGGTGGATCAATTAATGAATCAGTAGGGGAAACATTGGTAACGATATAGGTTTTTGAATTTCTTTTTTGGTTATTTATCGGTTTATATTTGCATTACTTTAAACCATTAATGTATTTCTCGATATCAAAAAAAAAAAAATAAAAGCTTGTTCAGAAACAGTTAACTCTCCAAGTAAACATTCTCTCAAGGATGATGGTGTTGCAAGAACACTTGGTCCAGAACGTCGAGGATGGGTAAGAGGGCTGGGCGTTGGTGCAACTCCTTCAAAGTTGAATGCTTTGGTACATAGTCAGAACTTGCAAACTCAAGTACAAGAGTTAAGAGATGAAATTAAAGAATTAAAAGCTTTGTTTCAACAGAAGAGTAAAAGTGTTGAACAAGAAAATGTAAGTGCGAAACTATCGTTACTAAATGATATTCTATATTTCATATTCTTTTCTATATTCAAATTAACAAATTGTACTTTCATATGAATTTTACAGCATAGTGATAGAAGCTTGAATGGTTTAGATAGCTTTCAAAGTAAAAAATGAAAATTGTTACGTTGGTTTGGGAAAGCTGATGTAGTTACAAATGGTGAAATCGCATAAAAAAATCCTTGTGATCTAGTGCATCATGTACTTCTTGGCGATGAATGTTGGAGAGTTTGGGTTAATGAAGTGATTGACAATGTTATCTTATATCGTCCAACACGTGAGCTATTTCTTCTTGAAGATGCATTAGGAAGTACAATTGCATGGCCAATCAGGTTCATCAAAATGGATTAGCTGTAAGCACAATAAATGTATGCTTTACTTGTTCTTTTATATCATTTTTCATTTTCATATTTACTTTAATATATTAACTATACCCTCATTTATTTTTGTGATGTGCAGGGAGTTGATTATTTTTGGGATAACAAAATTGTTGATCAAATTAATCAAAATTGATGTGGATCAATTATTTTGTACTATTTTGATTACTTGTTTTTGGAGTAGTAGTTCATACTTTTGGATGTTGATATCAACTATTTTGAGTAGGCCACTGATGTTCATAGTTCATTTCTAAATTAACTCAACATTTGTATTGGTTTTATTTTCTAAAATTATGGGAGAAGTTATTATATATGTGTTTATATTGGAATTATGTTCTTTAATTATTATAGGTTTAATGGTTATCAAAAAATAAATATTTAAAAAGAAATGAATCTTTATAGCGTACAAAATGTGAAAGTCATATAAAATTTCGGTATTTTTACGGCATGTTAGTGCATGTCGTAAACAAAATGAGACGACCATTTACGACATACAAAAATGTTTGCCTTAAAAAATAGTATCTTATTTACGGCATGCACAGTCATGCCGTAAAAGGTTAAGCATTTATAACATGCAAAGAATGCCGTAAATAGTTTATTAACGGCGTGCTTCTTGTTTTTTGCGGCATGCAATGCATGCCGTAAAAAGATATGCATATTTACGGCATGGCTTTATACGGCATGCGACTGTATGCCGTAAAGTACTTTTTAAGGCATGCAATGAATGCCATAAAAAGCAAAATCTGTTGTAGTGGGTTAAACCGTCAATAATCCAGACAGTTATACCACTTTTCCTAAAAAAGTAAATCAAGAGGGGTATTTTTTGGATATTAAAGAGGAACTTTTGAAAATTGAACTTTTATGTCTTGAAGTTTAAAAATATAAGAAATTTTATCATCAATAAATTGAAATTCAAGATCATCAATAGTGTTGATGTCATTTGAAGCGGAAGATGATGATAGTATTAATAATTAAGTTGCTAGTTCTTTTAGAACATTGACCTCAGTTTCAAGAGGATTTTTGGAGTAGCCTCATGTCTGTTTATTAAAACTGGCTCTATTGGCTTAATAGTTTTTGAAATAGATGGTGTCTCAGTTTTAAAATTTAATTCAATTCTTTGAGTTGAGAATACATAGATTGAAGAACTACATTAATATAGTTATTTTGAAATTGAATATTTTTGATATCTTTAACTACAACTTGAGACTCATCAAGTTGTTCTTTAGATATCATTTTAAGAGGAGAAGCAAGAATTTTAGTATTTCTATGTGGAATTACTATCTCTTGCAAAGGAGGATGAGATTATTAAATAGATTCACCACAAGAAGTTTTCCAAATCTTTTTTGGAGTATCTGTATTTTGAATAATTTTTTATTTCTTTAAAGTGGATATTTTATTGAAAACTTTGAAATATGCCCACTCAAAGAATCTAAAATCTTCAGGTAATTCAAAAAATTCTTCCCAAAAAGATTCTCTTTCTTTTTTTGAAAAAGCTTTTTGAAAAAATGTTCTAAAAATTTTGACATCAGTAGATTGATCAGTTTTAAATTCATTTCTTCTATTAATTCTAGAAGAATAACATTGCATTCATGATCAATTCTCTAATTTTGAGAATCAGTCTCTCGTTTTGAGAAGGGGGAACCATATCAGATAAAGTCGAAGAATCAGGTTGTTCTGACTCTTCTTCTCTATCTTTATAATGAGGTTTTCGATTGTTGGTATTAAAATCAGCACCTACTAGAAAAGATGTTGAAAATCTAGCGGATTAAAAAGACATTCTAGGTGTCTCTTTAGATCTAGAAGAATAAGATGTTTGAAACCTAGAAGAAGATCCTTTAAAAATCATTTTGATATTTCCATCAGGTAAAGTAAGAATTTGATTTGGAATTGTTTGAACAACAGCAAGAATAGGATTTTGAACATTTTCACAATTCCATTCAAGTCCTCTAGATTGAAGATTCCAAGGAACTCTCTTAGAAATCACGGTGTTTGAATGAAAATGATTAAATTCAATCAAAAGACTTTCCAACTTTTGGAGATGAGAATGGAGCGCCATTATTGAGCTGAGTATTCATGAGCTTGTAATATATTTTATATATTACAGCAAAAGCATTTGAACAATCATCAAAATCAAGATTTTTGTTTGAATATGAAGGTTTAGAGCATTAAGAATAGCTCCATCATTGAGATTGATAGAAAAATTTGGAAAACAATTTTAATAAACGGACTACTTTCTAGATTTGATTCTAGAATAGATAATAATGAATTTTCAAATTTGAGAAGTTTCTTATCTCTAAGAGTTAAGAGAATAGGTATGTCTAAACTAAGTTGAAACAATGGTTAACAACAATTTGTGCTAATCCAACATGAAGATATTTAAATTTCTTTCTGTAGGATACAATAGATTCTTTTGAAAATAAATTGATAAATGCATTTTGACTCTTAAATGGTAAAGTTTGTTCAAAAGTTTTGATGATATAATTTTGAGTAAAATCAAACTTTCTTATTTCATAGATAAAGTTTTTTTTTTCTACTTTTGGAATAGTTCAGTTATGCGATCTTTGTTCAATTTGAGCAATTTGTTCATGACTATTAAAGTCATTTGGTATTGGAGTTGTACAAGAGTGAGGCAAGGTTATGGTAATTTATCATTTTAGGCACTATTCAATAGAAGAAATCTGGTTCAAACCTAGTGTTTGCTAAATAGAGTTGGTCAGCCCGTGTTTTGCCACTGTAGGCGTTTTTGGGTGGTCCCGTTGTAGGCTTGATAAGAGGTAGTTTATTCTATTGTATTGTTTTTAAAGGGTTAAATTATTATAATTTCATTTTATTTAATTATGTCTTTGATTTCAAATTGGTTAAGGAGAGCTAGAAATAGATCTGAAAGTATTTCAAATGTTTTTCAAAGTGAATAAGAATTAAATCAAGTGTGTGTGTGTGTATTATCAACATAAGGTTTTTGGTTAGAAACAACTTTCCATTTATTCTATCTCTTTTTATTTCCATGCCCAAAATCTTTCTAGCGGGTCCTAAATCTTTCATTTCAAATTCAGATTTCAGATTTTCTTTAATTGAGTTAAGTGCAACAGAATTATGACCACCAAGAAGCATATCATCGACATACAAAAGCAGATAGAAAAAATCAGATTCACCTTCTTTCTTATAATAGAAATAGGGATCATATTATGATTTCTTGAAATTCAAACCTTGTATAAAAGAGTCAAATCTTTTATACCACTGCCTAGGGGCCTATTTTAGGCCATACAAGGATTTCTTTAAGAGACACACTAAGTTTTCCTTTCCTTCAACTTCAAACCCTCTTGGTTGAGTCATATGTATGGTTTCATCTAAAGAACCATACAAGAAGGCAGGTTTCACATCAAGTTGTTCTAACTTCAAGACAAATTGTGTCACTATAGCAAGTAGGACTCTAATGGATGTATAGTTAACAACTGGTGAAAAGATTTCGGTGTAATCTAACCGTTCCCTTTAATTAAAGCTTTTAGCTACAAGTCTTACCTTAAACTTTTTATCACTATCCTTAGTCTCACCCTCTTTTATCTTATAAACCCATTCACAATCAATCAATTTACAATCTTTGGTTTTCTCAACTAAAGTCCAGGTTTCATTTTTTAAGAGTGAGTTCATTTCATCTTCCATCATAGCAATCCATTTAAGGGATTCTTAGGAAGAAATAGCCTCTTCATAAGAGGTAGGTTCTATGTCAAACAGATCAGATTCAGACTGATCAGATGCAAAATCAGCATATTGATACCTGGAAGGAGGTTTTATTTGCCTTCATTCTCAGTCCCTAGCAAGCTGGTAGTCCTGCACGTCATGTGTAGGCTCCAGATGTTGTTCATTTTCA